ATAAGGAGAAAAAGGAAAAATAAACATAAGGAAAAATAAACATAAGGCCCCGGATTGAATCTGAGAAAAGAAAAGAGAAATTCGAGCAGTTAGGGAAAGGCGAGGAAAATAGAACAAGAAAATAAAAGGGAAAAGAAATTAAGAAAACGGGGCCACACAAACTATTTTCGGAATCGAGCTGCTTCCAGATTTAAACAAAAAGACTAGAATGCTGGCTTGGGATTGGAGAGAAAGAAAGGAACACATATGGGGATAGACCCATTTTTTTTAAAACATTTTCTTTTCCATTTACTTTTGGCCCATTTAAGGCTGAAACGGGTGTCGTTCGAGTCCCTTTCTCCAATCAGCTTCTCGATTTCTTTTCTTTTCCTTTTATTTCTCAACCAGCTCGACCACGACGCGTGTGCTTCTTTTTTCCTTTTCTTTTATTCCGCTTGCTGCGAAACGGCGTCGTTTACATCACCCCAGACTTCCTCCCCTTCCTCGCCTACTATTGTTGACTCTCTTTCTCCCTCTCCAACGTCGGCCACCGCCTCGCTCCATCCACAGGCGCGGGTTTCGAGGGCGTCCAATCTTATCAACCCTTCTCAACATCCTTATCTTCTTCCGCACACAAATTGCTAACTTCGGTCGACGGTGCATCCACTTTCATGGCCGCCGCACAGCTGCTTCGTTCGATGCTCCCACCGCCGCCGCTTGGGCCGCCGCCGCCGGCCGCCGCCGCTTGGTTCGATGCTCGTGCTCGCTTCAATCAATCACCACTGTCACTGCCACCGACTGCAGCTAATCTCGCCCCTTTTCATCCGTATCCAAAATTGTGATTCGTGATTTCTTGTGCATCCGCCCCTTTGTCCGATACTCTCTTTTGTGAAGGTAATATACTCCTTTTGTTCTTATCATTTTTCCCGTTTGAATTTTTCCCTGATTGTGTTTCAATTAGCAACTGAATTAATCCCTCAGCTCAAATCTCGATTCCGCGCGTCGGTTATATATAAACGTCGCTACGAGAGTGCTTTATTATTTTTTTTTTCCCTTTGCGACGATTTAGTGACATTAGTCGCAAAGGTTGCGACGATTAGTTTTATCGTCGCGATATATTCCATCGAAATCTTATTTTCCGATATCTTGCGACGTTTTTTAGTCAAAATGATCGCAAACTAGTGACGATTCCGGAATCGTCGCCAAAAAAAACGTCGCAAGTGAGCTGTTTTGGCCTAGTGCGCCTTGTCGAATATCTCACTGCTCTCCAACTTCCACTCAAAACCCTCCTCAAATCTCTTCTCTTCTTTCAGATTATCGAGTCTCAACAACCGGAGAAGAAACAAGAATCATCTTTGTCCGAACCTCGTTTTCTGTAATAAGAACACCTGCCCACAAGCCGATAATCAATATTTTACAGCTGAAAATAAAGATTTGATTAAAAGGGTCGGCCGAGGACTGCTTGGTTTCGCCGTCGGCGTTTGCTGAATCACTGACAGTAGCTGTAGACGAATAAAATTTAAGCCAATTAGATGGATAAATTATATATGGAATAAAGTTTGATCCAATGGCATTTGTGTAATTATACATAGCCAAAGGACTTAGATGCCAATTGAAGACCCGTATATATGCGGTCATGCATATATTTTTATCAATTATATATTTTGGAATTTAATTAAATTAATTTCTAATAGATAATTGATATTAAATATATATTGGCCAATAAAATTATTTATTCTCTTCCAAGTTATAAGAGATAAATATCAATTAATTATTGGCCAATAAAATTGTTTCTTATTCCCCAAGTTACAAGAGATAAATATCAATTTAAATCAGGCCAATCAAATCGCGCCATTGTTAGAGTAGGTGACCAACAAGCCAACCTGTGGCTGTGGTCTTTCGTATTTATTATTGTAATAAACGAACCTTTATTCGTATTAATGATAAAACACCTTGGCATTCTATATCTTTGTCCCTTTGTCACAAGCATAGATATAGTCCTTACAGTTATTACAAGTACTAGTAATTGATCGTTAGGATCATGAGATATTTACTTAAGTATTATAACTGTTAAACGTGTTCCTAGTCGAAGGGTTACGCCACTAATGAGGATATCGGCCTTTCCCATTGAGACTAGCACTTAGTGTATGTGTACTGCATCTCATCAGTAAACGGTATTGTGATATCGGCATGCACAAGTGGGTGCTCGTAAGTTGACGAGTTCACTGAACTCCCTCACCCTAGAAATCTCTAAGTGGTTCCCAATAATCGAGTAGAGATATCTATGGTATAGTTGTACACCATTAGTCCTTATGACCTAGACATCACCGTGACTTCACTAGAGGACCAGCTGTATCGTGACCTGTCCCTGAGTTCCACCGAGGACCATCCCAAGGGCCAGTGTTCGTGCAGTCCGAAATCTAGTGGGAGGTCTGTGCATTGTAGTCGGGGATTCGATCGCTAGAATAGTCTTGGATGTCCTATGTGTTCTGAAAGTTTGTAATCATTCTAAGTCTATGGCCAGAGCTGACTAAGTGATGATTAGAGAATTCGATTCTCTAAGTCATGCACGAAAGGATTACAACACTTGGAACGATCGCACCGTCATCGAACATATAAAGAGGTCTCGATGAACCAATGCCTCTAGTTCGATCGGGACATATGAATCGAAGGGACCGTACTGTACGTTAACTATATCTGAAGGTTCTTGCAGGCACTTCATTTGTATCTAGGGAATCATGACGCGTAGTTGCTAGACGCCAATCTTGATTCGTTGGGTGATTAAGGTGAAACGAGTTTCATCTTAATCGTAACTCTAAGGGGACGAGTTTTGACCACAAAGGGTTGTGGGCCCACGGCTAGCTTACACCTGAACCATCGAGGGTCACACTGCTCGTGCACATGAGATCTTTGAATAAACGGTCAAAGGTAAAATATGTTTATCTTTGCATGATTGGAAGTCAATATGATTGGGTCCAACATTCGTAATTTGGAATTATGAATGAGAATAAGAAAAGGAAAAGAATAGGCGAACGTATTAGTGAACCTTCTAAATCGGGAAGTTTCCAAATTTAGAAAGTGCACTGAATTAGGGTTTCCACTTTTGGAAAGATGGAAATCGAGAGTTGGCACTCGTAATGACGAGGACATTATAATGATTCCGAAAATGTAATCGTTACAGTTTTCCGATCATCGAATTGAGAGAGATGAGCAAGTAAAAGAACTAACGAACTTAAGCTGTTGGGCCCGGTCCAACTTAAGCCCGTTAGGGTTTTATGCAAGACATATAAATACTTGATTTATAGGTCTTGCACACACACAACTAAGAGAACACACGTTCATAACCTAGCCGCTGCCTCTCTCGATCAGCCACCCTCTCCCACGGCCACCACCACTGCGCCGTCGCCGGAAATTCGCCGGAATCGGCCACCCGTTGGCCGATCTCTTTCGGTATTCCTTTCTTTCTTTCTTTTCTTCCGTTATTCTGACTATTACGTGTCTAGTGCCACGTGTTTAGTTGATCGAAGTATACGAGGTGAAATCCAAGAGGAGGAAGATTGAAGAATCGAAGATGCGAGAAGGCAATTCTGAAAAACTGCTCTCGGATTTTCTGCGCTGTCCAGCGAGAAATTCGCCATAAATCAACCGGTGATCGGATGGACGTGAAATTTTGACAGAAGCTTCAAGACTCATAAATCTAAATTATTCCAGAAGGAATTGTCCATCCAGTAAATATGCATGGAGATATTGAAGTCGGAGCAAGGCTGTAATTTCAGATCAGCAAACAGGTTGGATCAATGGGAGTGGGAAGAGCAGCTAGCCATCTTCTCGAGTCGTCATTCGATTCATCCTTCAAGGACAGCGCGTGAATCACACGCGCCGCCGTAGCTCGGATCATGGCCGTCGCTGCATTGCCGTTGCTGCCCCGGATTGCACGGATTGGTTTCCATAGCAATCTCGACTTGCTAAACGCTCCTACCTCACGCTTCAAGAGGTAAATACACGAAACCCTAGTTTCGGTTCGTTTAGGTTTAAACTATGAATTCATGTTTGCTATCATGTGATTTTATGTGATTATGTGTAATCGTTTTAATCGTTGCAAGCATGATTATTGGTTTAAACGCGAGCATGTTAATTGATTTAAATTCGGTTAAATTATTTAGCATGTTGTTTTTAATTTCGCTGGAAGCGCAAAGGTACGCAATTAATTGATTTTAATTTGTCGGGCATGTGCTTGTGTGCTTTAAAGTCGTTTAATTCGCATAAATTTTTTTGTTTTCCGCTGCGTACACGTGCCCGAAACCCAACAGCCATGTCATCAAGAAGTCCCATTAAGGAGTCTTGTCCTACCACTATAAATAGGGACCCTCCCTTCACAATTCAAGGACACAACTGAAGGAGCAAAAACCGTAGGAGCAAAATTCTCTCTACAATTCAAGAAGCAAGGAAGAAGAATTCGTAGGAGGTAAGATTCTCTCTCTACATTCAAAGTGTTCTTCGTCATATTCGAGGTGTTCTTGAGCAAATTCAAGGCATTCTTCATCAAATCTAGCGTTCGATCCGAGATAACGGTGCCAAACCTTCGGGTTAACGTTAACTAATTCAAGTCAAGATCACTGGAAGATTGAAGGGCCAAATCCATCAAGAATTTCAAGATCTTCAAGTCAAATCAAGTCAAAGTTCAACGTTCGATCCGAGATTCAAGTCGCAAGACCCTTGGAAAACGTTAATCAAATCCAAAATCAAATCCGGAAAAGATCAAGTCAACGACCCGACTCCGAAAATTCAAGTCAACTATATATTTTTCTAGAGAGAAGAATCAAAGGATTAAAATAGAGATTGTAACCCGCAATTTATTTATTTTAATTCAATAAAATCATCTTTGTTCAATTTTTCTTGTTTGTTTATATCGCAGATAAGAATTTGTTGTTACAAATTTTTGGCACGCCCGGTGGGACATCTCTACCTCTCATCTCTTCTCTCTCTCGAAGATCCTCGAAGTGTTACGGTAACCGCTCGCGATGAAGGCTGCTACTTCGAATTCATCAAGTGTAGGCGTAGTTACAAGGAGTATGGCTAAGAAACTGCAGGCATCCTCCGAGACTAGCTCGACACCGCAAATCATTGAGAAAGGCTCATCACCTCTCGTCAACACAGGTGAAGACGTGGAAGGATCTAGAGGAGGAGCTTTATCATCTACGTCCCGTTTGACATCAAACTACTCTGAGGTGGCCCCCGTCATGACAACACATGCTACGACCATGGAGGAGCAAATGGCAAGCTTGACCAAGGCCATTGAAGGGCTAACAAAACACATTCAAGAACAAGACTCCCAAATCGCGATATTGAGGAACAAAGTTGACGGTAGTCACGACATGGGAAAACAAGGTGAAAATCACACCGAAGCTGAAACTTCTGCAAGGCGACATCCAACCGACAGGGAGAAGAGCTCAGCTGAAGAATTCCAGATTTCGTCAGAGGGGTTGATTCCTATAGACCAATTGAAGGAGTTCATCATGGGAACTATCAAGAACAAATTCGATGAGGGTTCAAAATCATCGTCAACATACACCAAGCCATACACTCTAAGAGTAGATGACTTGAAGATGCCAATTGGTTACCAACCCCCGAAGTTTCAGCAATTTGATGGCAAGGGCAACCCAAAACAGCATGTGGCACATTTTGTTGAAACTTGCAACAATGCTGGGACTTTTGGAGACTACCTCGTGAAACAGTTCGTCCGATCATTGAAGGGGAATGCTTTTGATTGGTATACGGACCTAGAGCCGAACTCAATTGACAGTTGGAGTCAAATGGAGCAAGAATTTTTGAATCGCTTCTACAGCACCCGAAGAACAGTGAGCATGATCGAGCTCACAAACTCTCGCCAGTGGAAAGAAGAGGCCGTCATTGACTACATTAACCGTTGGAGGAATTTAAGCCTGAATTGCAAGGATCGACTGTCAGAGCCTTCAGCTATCGAGATGTGCATTCAAGGAATGCAATGGGGACTCCGATATATCCTGCAAGGGATTCAACCTAAGACTTTCGAAGAGTTGGCCACTAGAGCGCATGATATGGAGTTGAGCATTATGGCTAGTGGAGTTGAGGGACCACCATTTCAAGAGCCTCGACAGTCCAAAGAAAAACAAGACTTTCGAAAGGGGGTAGAGTTTTCTCTAAGACCTCAAGCAAAGAATCTTTGGCAGTGAATGCAACCCCTATCAAATTTCAAGGAAAAGTGAACGGAAACAATGAGGAAAAACAAGATTTTTCCCAAGAAAGAAGAAGACTTACTCTAAAAGAAATGCAAGCAAGGGAATATCCATTCCTTGACACCGATGTGGCTGGAATATTTGACGATTTGCTAGGTTTAAAACTTATCGAATTGCCTGAAATGAAGCGCCCCGAAGAAGCTAACAAGATCGATGACCCAAAATACTGCAAGTATCATCGGTTGGTCGGGCACCCAATTCATGATTGCTTCGTATTCAAAGATAAAGTTATGAAACTAGCTCGCCAAGGGAAGATATCACTTGAAGAGATCAGCGCCACTACAAATTTTGTCGTCACCACTTTTGAGTCCCTTGACATGACGACAACAAACGTACACAGAGGAGATGATGATTGTATCAACATCTCATGCAACGCGATAATTGAAAAGGAGACCGCTGCTAGTGGAACGACTCCGTCTCCAAATGAAGTTTGTACCGTGATTGGTAGATGCATCTCAACAATGACTTTCGCTGATGAAGATTTAATTCTTGGTTCCAAACCACACAATAGGCCGTTGTTTGTTGCCGGCTACGCCCGTGAACAGAAGGTGAATAGGATTTTAATCGATGGAGGTTCTGCAGTCAATATTTTGCCGTTGCAGACTTTAAAGGAATTGAGAATCTCCACGGAGGAGCTCAAAACTAGTCGCTTGATGATCCAAGGATTTAATCAAGAAGGACAAAGGGCCCTTGGTATCATAAGGATAGAGTTGTTAATGGATGATATGTTGTCCACCGCACTGTTCCATGTCATTCATGCAAGAACCTCATATCGCATGCTTCTCGGACGACCTTGGATACATGAGAATAGTGTGGTTCCTTCTTCTTGGCACCAATGTTTCAAGTATTGTCGAGACGGAGTAGTTAAAATAATACTCGCCGATGATAAACCGTTCACCGAGGCAGAAGCCCACTTTGCCGATGCTAAGTACTATCTTGATGATGAGAAGAAGGTAAAGGCCAAAGAAATTCTACCAGTTGAAGAACCAAAGCAAATAAATAATCAAGACAATGTTCTTTTAGCGTGTGAGGCTTTGAAAGATTTGATGTTTCCCCTAACACCAATTGACGAGAAGCAATCAACTTCTCAACCACCTAAAGGATTTGTTCATCCCACAGAAGGAACCCAAGAGGAATGCGAAGAATTCTCCGAGTCCCAAATGACAAAATGTTTTGGCCCAAATGCTTATAAACTCTTAGTGAAAGCTGGTTTCAACCCACGTGAAGATTCTACGCTTGGAAGGCTTCCTGCCGAAGTTGTTGGCGAAAAGGTGCATGGCCTCAATACTACTCAGATAATGTTGAAAGAAAAGGGACATGCTATTCAAAGTCCTAGAGTTGGTCTTGGATTTGTTCCACAAAAGCCAATTCGTATTGCTATCAATAGAGCTACTAGTAATTACATAATCGAAGATGAATTCTCATCAACAGACGATTTTCTTGAAAGTAGAACAAAAGTGAGAAGGACATTGGTCTTTGATAGGCTTACACCATCTGTCTTCGACAGACTTGCGCCATCCGTCTTTGATAGGCTTGGACCACTTAGAGAGTGGGGGCATGAAAAAAGCGACAAACGAGGGTTTGATAGACTTACACCATCCGTCTTTGATAGGCTTGGACCACTTAGAAAGTGGGGGCATAATGTTGGGTGCTAAATACCAACACGCAAGTGTACGTATCGCAAACAAGTAGTAAAGTAGACTCGTGAGAGTCGGATGTCGATCCCACAGGGAATACGCAAATTACCTAATCCTAAGTACCAAATCCTAACAATTATGATTTTTATTCAGCCTACGCAGGGTTGTCAATTTAATTAACTAAATAAAAGAAACTAATTAAGAAAACAGTTAAACACGAGAAAATATCAATATAAGACGGATCTAGGATTTTATCTTCCCCTATGCAAGAATTGCTCACCCGAAACCCCTCAATTATGCAATATATGATTCATGATTATTAACCCGAGACACTAATTTACTCATAACCCGCTGTCGCGTGTATTATGGGTCTATTATTCATAAACGATTCACTATATGTCTATGCAAACCAATTATGAATAAAGCATTAAGTAACAAGTCTCGTAAATGGCTACCTAAGGTGATATCTGTATGTCTACGACACCACATGCAATTGACACACTCATTCGGTGAAAACTACTCGAAGGCTCTTATACTTACCGTCTAATTATCAAAATAGCTCTGTCGAGTCAATCCCAATAATCACAGATAAAGCACATAAATTGATCAAGTTCATGCACTAACAATCATAACAAATATAAGAAATAATCATAAAATCATAATTGCATAATCTCAAGAAAACGGGTTCACAATCCCCACATAGGGTTCCAACAAAATCCTAGATTAAAAACTTAGCTACTCATAACGAAAAACATAATAAAAGTAATAAAAGTTATAGATTAAGAAAAGATAGGTGAAAGAAGAATTATGATGAAGAGTTGTCAATTCTCCGTCTTCGATTCTTCGTTCTCTCGCTTCTCTCGCTCCAAGGTTGTGTGAAAAGTCCCTTAATTCGTGCTTGGTTTGCCCTTAAATAGATGTCCCAACTTGGTAGATGATTCTAGGTTTCCTTGTGTGTTTAAAAGTCCAAAATTGTGTCTAGCGGATGTTGGCGCGGCCGCGCGAAAATCAGTGCAATTCTCGCACGGCCGCGGAAGAATCGCTGAACCTTCTGCCCAAATTCTGCATTTGGCACGGCCGTGCCAAAAATAGGCTAATTTTGGAACGGCCGTGCGGGCCTGTTTTCAGCCAATTTTCATCATATTTTGATTATTTCACTTTTGGCCCATATTTTCTCCAAAATTGCAGTTTTGACCCCAAACTTTTCCAATTCTTCAATTTGTACCTAGAATACAATAAATCAACTTTTTAAGCACCAATTATCGTTAATTCACACAAAAATCTCAAATAAAAAGATACGATAAAGTATAAAAATATATACTTAACACACCCCCAAACTTGATCTTTTGTTTGTCCTCAAGCAAAAACTAGCAACTTTCACAGCAACACTCTCAACAAATGCCTCTCATCACATAGATTAATGGTCAACTTTCATTTTTTCAGAACGTGCAATTATCATGACAATTCTCAAAAATTTACAAGCTCGTAATTCAAAGATACGTATTCACTCACCATTGCTAAAAACCACAAACCATGCTATCGCTTCAAGTATCCCATATTTGTACATTAAAATTGGAGAAAATTTATACTTACATAATAATATTCAACTCCAAAGACTCACCAAATTTCTTTACTCGGCTAGTATCAAATAATTGAGCTATTGGGATCATTGGGACTTTTTGGCTTTCAAATGTTGGGCTTTTTGGTTCAAGGTAGGAGATATGGGTATAGGTGGCTATGCTTCTTGAATTGAGGTGATTACGCCAAATTTTGAAAGATATGCGTTTGAAACAATGAATTCACCTCTAAGGACTTTAATTAACTCGATTCTTCAGAGTTCAAAAGTCTCCACTTTTGCTCTTAAGACAATGGATCGAGCTTTCAAAACAACTCAACAACTAGTCCCTATTTCCCCTTCTAGTCTCTTCTTCTTTTTTTTTCTTCTCTTTTTTTTTTGATTAATATTATTTTTTTTTTTTTATATTTCTTTTTTTTTTTCTTTTTTTTTTCTTTTTTTTTTTTTCGAAGAAGAAGAAGGACCTTATAAAAAAATTTCGACTGAACTCCAAGGGTTAATTTTTCACAAATCTCCACTTATTCTACCTTATACACATTGGCTAAAAGAAAGAACACCGTTTCTCCAAGGCTCAATCAAGGTTCGAATGATAAAAATTTAAGGTAGGCTTGAAAGGCTCAAACGGTTCAAAGATGACCCAAATCACTTCCCAAATTGCTCAACAATTTAATATTTCACTTTGTAAATTCATAAGACAAGTTTTAAAACCGAATAGCATATGATATAACATAAATTAACTCAAATTTTAAAACACAAAACTTTCAACCAAAACAACGCATAATTCGAGATTCCTAACAATGACTCCTTCTTACGACACTTTGAATCAAAAGCTCAGCAAAATTCGATCAAAATCAAGATAAAGCAAGCAATTTCATAATTAAACATCGACCATCTTTCATCATCATGATTCATCGAAGCATTTATCTCAAACACATTTTTTTTTTATTTTTTTTTTCGAAAGTAATAAATAAACTAAAACAACTAAAATAAACTAAAAATCCTAAGGCATGCAAACTAAAAAATTAAAGCACATAAAAACAAGTAATTTTCCACCCCCAAACTTAAAATTTACATTGTCCTCAATGCAATTAGAACAAAGTTCAAGGATAGAATACACCTGATTAGTCGGAAGGTCCTTCCCCGGGATGCACTCTTTGATGTTCGTTTAATCCACATTTAACGTCTGATCCCTTAGTGTTTGATTTTCGACCTAAAAATTAAAACAAGATTAAATTATTAGTTTGCTCATGCTAAAATCCTAAGAAAAATAAAAAAAAATAAAAATACGAAAATCGATAAATGCTTGGGTTGCCTCCCGAGAAGCGCTAAGTTTTAAGTCTTCAGCCAGACTTTGCTTCTTAAAACTGTTATGTCCAATCCAAAGCCTTATAGATTGCGCATCCATCCATGAGCTCTATCACTTCAATTGCAACTAAGGCATGGATAGCATTGCAATATATCAGGGTCCACCTTAGCTTGTAGTCTTTCTTGGTTGTAATCAATCGGTACGAAGCTAAGATGAGATCTTCATCACCCGCTCCCTCAAATCGGTACACAAAAACCTCACGTCCGCGTATAACCTCCACTTCAAACACATTCGTCTTCTCATCAACCTCTATTGATGCCTTCAAATCTACATTTAGATCAATGACAGGGTCCACAACTAGAATATCTTCAATCATTACATCCATCTCCTTCTTCTCTTGTTCTGAGGCATCTTCGTG